CCTCGATCGAGTATTCGAGAGGGAGATAGTTAAAGATATAACCGGGATCGACGAACATCTCATTAAGTGGATAAAAGCAAAACCAAGTACTTATCTCTATTAATTAAATTTATATAAGTCGTTCATCTTAGTGTTAATTAAATTAAATCAAATCAAATCTAAAACCCCCCTTGTTACTAGAATTTAATTAAAAAGAAAAGTATTCCTTTCCCTGTGGATACGAACCTTACTTCAATATACTACGTATAATTGTTGTATTGTATATTTACTTTGAGTGCACACCGCGACAAAGTGCACGTCACTGATATGCCTGAAAAGCCGAAAAATAGTGTTGTTAAACGGCCTCTTAATTAATAAATAAAAAAATATACAGGGTATTTTTTGATAAATATATAAGGTAATTTTATTTATAGAAAACAATGATATTTTTAACAATAGCAGAGAAAAAGATCCAAGTTACACATTAATTATAATATAAAAGAAAATATACAACATTTTTTATATGTATAAAAATTGAAGTTTTTAACATTAGATTGAACTTTTTTATACAAGTACGTTCTCCCCGAAGGTATAATTTATTTTTATTAAAAGTGACGTTATATTCACACTTAATTATTATTATTATTATTATTATTATTATTATTGTTGTTGTTGTTGTTGTTGTTATTATTATTACTACTACCCTTATATAGATTTTTGTGAAATATAGAAAATATCCATCCGTGCGTTGTAAAACACGCACAAGTTGGTGATGATAGTTCATTTGTTCCTCAAAAAGGAATTTCCTTCAGAGGAATTGTTTCAGGATTCCTCAATATACCGTCTTTGATGGATATTACAAATGGTAAAATGTTATTTCTATAAAAATTATATTCTGTTTTCGATGTCAATTTGAATTTATGTTAAAATCTCATATTACGTGAATATTTGAAATGTTACTTATCATCAAGCTCAACGAGTTTGTGATAGAAGTGAGCCCCATTCTGTGACACTCCAAAATTTAAATAAAAATAAAAATAATTTTTATTAGTCAGATAAAATATTACGGAAATAACATTTTAATTATTAAGCGAGTCAAACAAAAAATTCAACAGTCGTGCCATTCTAATCAGATAAAATTTCAATACCATTTGGGGGTGTTACACATTCGACCAATGACAATACCATCTTGGAATCGAAGGCGAAGTCGCCCAATATAACTCATGTAAATACTAATGAAATCGGTGAGTATTATGTAATAATGCAAATAGAAGCATACCTTCAAAATGTTATTGAGATGATTTTATTTCATTTTTGTATTATATAGGTTCTTTCGGTGGTGGAGACAATGAAATCATGCAAGATAGTAATCATCTTACACGCATCCCCCACGATGATGAATTCCAACTATCCAGTTCTACGTGTACTTCTATCAAAGAAAGTGGTTTAAGAAGATCAATTCCTTCAAGAACTTTTGATCAAGATCTTGAAGACACACCACATTCATCAGTATTAGATGAATCTGATATTGACGAAGATGAGCAGATGATGAGTATGTAGACTATGAAGAACTTCCGAGCATAACAAATGCATCGAAAGGTCTTTTTTAATCCACAAACATATCATTGTGGAATTCTTTAATATAATATTGCTTAAAATATTTGAAATGCATTAAAATGTTTTTATGCAGAGTATTGGGATATTGATGACCCAATATATAGTTGTCCACATTGTGGAGCAACTTTTTGGTTTGAAGAGAGAATTGAATCAATATCTTCAAAGAAAAATCCAAAATATTCTCTGTGTGTCTATTGAAATACCAGAAGATTTTCTTTTACACACTTCAGGAGATCCAATAGCAAAATTTGTTGAGAGCACTTATCCAGAACATCCAAATATTTTGGATGATTTCAGTTATTTTCGAGATAGGGCTATTTTAGCCCCAACATTAAGCGTTGTGGATGAAATAAATGACTATATGATTTCTTTAAACACTTCACAGCCTTCAAGAACATACTTCAGTTCTGATAGTATTTGTAAATCAGATTCTAATGTTGATCTTTTAGCGGATTTGCATACCCTGGAATTCTTAAATAATATTCGTATCTCATGTGTGCCCAATCATGAACTCTCATTGAAAGTTGGAACTCCAGTCATGTTTTTGCGTAACATAGATCATTCTATGGGGTTGTGTAATGGAACGAGACTGATTATTACAAGATTTGGTGACCACATATTGGAGGCAAAGGTTTTGACAGGAAGAAGTATGGGGAAACAAGTATTGATTCCGAGATTATCATTGACTCCTTTAGATGTGAGACTTCCTTTTAAATTTCAAAGAAGGCAATTCCCGATCATGGTTGCTTATGCTATGACTATAAATAAAAGTTAAGGGCAATCTCATTCGCATGTTGGTTTATTGTTAAAGAAGCCGGTTTTTTGTCATGGACATTTGTATGTAGCAGTTTCTAGAGTCACGAGTCCAAAAGGATTGAAGATTTTAATCATAGGTGATAATAATGAAAGCACAAACAAGACCAATAATGTCATATATAAAGAAGTATTTTAGAATGTATGATTTGTATACATACTTAATTGTGGTTATCACAAAAAAAAGTTGTTATAATCTTTTATTATCGTGACATTTTTCCCTACTCTTCTTCACCATTTATGCGTGCATATTAATATAATTATACTATAATTATATTTTGAATTTTTTCATCGTTATCCGAGAAAATTGTTTATTTGTATTATATGAAAGTTTGCGTGTTACACTTATACAAAATTTCCCCCCCGTGCAACGCACGGGTGGAATACTAGTTGATTTAAATGTGAGTGTTCTCACGTTAAGCATCGTTCTCGCTCGAATCGCACCATCACCTCAACCTAGGGTGCGATTCGAGTGAGAACGATGCTTAACGTGAAAACACTCACATTTAAATCAATGCGGTGCACAATGGAGGTCTTGTGTTGCACATGTTCAATTTGCTTGAATTAAGCCTATATTAAATAAACACAGTGACATTTTGGTAAATATTGTGAAAATGTGAAAATGTGCAGTATACAAGATTCGTTGTGCAACACGTTGGGGTAAATGTGGTGTTCTCACGTTAAACACTTTTCTCATTTGATCTTTATTCTTTGAGTAAAATGCATAAATGGTCCTTGAACTATCGTATATGTGTATCTAAACAAAAACTAGATTAGCTACTTAAATTTTAAGAATGATTCTATTGTTCCAAAATGTTTGAAATTATGAGATGTTAATAAATTAATTAGCTTGCGTCAAAGTTAACGACAAATTTAACGGAAGGACTACATTAATATAGATGGAATAGATTAAGGACTAAAATGATAGATTTAATAGTTTGAGGACCAAAATGATATGGTGATGATAATTTAAGGACCATTTATGCATTTTACTCTTATTCTTTAGCTATTTATGTCAAGGATATTGTTGTGAAAAAATCTATTGGTATACAAAATATGTACACATTTGACGTACTCTTGTGTGCACATAGCTAATTGTCTGTGTATACAGATAACTCATTTCGAAAAAGATGACAATTGTGTGTGTATACATGAGAGTGTGTGTCAATTGCCATTTTGTACAAAAGAATGATTGTATTTTTGTTGCCTTCTAGCATGATTGTGTATGATGTTTTTTATTGGAGTATGTTGAAAAAATGATATGTATATTACTAACCCAACGAACAAAAAATATGATTATATGGAGTATGTTTTTTGGACATAAGTATTACTAGGCACTATGTACGAGTAATCGAACAAGAGTCGGTATAATGTATTTTAGAATAATAAGTTTCTGGTAGATGATAAATTACTGGGAACTATTCATTAAATATGTCATTTTTTTGATTTTTTTAAATAATTCATATCTTTGTCTTTTGAAATTTAATTTAATAATATTCATTTTTTACTAATCTTTTTAACCTATTATAGTATCTGTTCCGTTAAGGCCAACATTCTTGAACTGGGTTGGGATTTCGTACCCGTGACCTTTTTAAGAGTGTCACAGTGATAACATGGGCTATAAGGTACTTGGCAATTTAATAATAGTGAAAATTATTATTAGCCCCCTGAGGTCATATCATAATTATTAATGCAACCTTGCATTTTCAAAAATCAATTGGTTACCCTCTAAGTTTTGATCATTCTCACTATATAATCCCTCACATTAATATTTGTTAAATTAAATTTAATATACCTCTTAAATTCAATGAAAGTTGTATTTAAAATTAATTTTTAAAATACAAAACAATTTATCATAATAGTTACAAGTCATTGTTGATGATAATTTGTTTTTCTACTTAACTACTTGATCATGGAGTAACACTTGATGAAAGTTGTTAAGGGAAAGACTCACGAGTCATATTAATGGGATATATAAAAAAATTTGTTTATAAAATGTGTTATCAAAATTCTAGGCACTTCTTCATTATGAATCTACAAGTCTTATTTTTAATTCATTCGGTTGAATTAATCACAATGACATTTCTTTCGTGTGTAGCAAAGAAGAAATACCAATTTTTTTTATCATTCCATGACAAAAAATATAGGTTTAGTATCAATAAGGGACCTAAAAGACAAAATGTGTGATGGTTATTCCAATTATACCATGATCTGAATAATTGAAAACGATCAATCTTAGATCTAAAATATCATAGATTTTAATTTATTTAAATTTTTTATTAACTACGATCAACAAAAATGACTAATAATTATGATACTAATTTGTGGTTTAGATTGAAAATTAATTTTATTGACATTTTTCATTGAATTATATTAAATTTAAATTTAACAAATATTAACGTGAGGGGGCAAAGAAATCCAAACTCAGGGGGTATGTAATTAATTTTTGAAAATACAAGTTTACATTAATAATTATGACATAACATGAGAGAACTAATATAGTAAATTTCGCTTAATAATATTCACAAAAAGGATGCAGTAAGTTTTGCTCAATTTTTTTGACATTTAAGAAATATTTAGGTTTGGTTATAGAAGTGCCCAGCATCAAATTTGTATTGCTCAGTCTGGTAGCTACCGAGTGTTGATATGAATGGATATTTTTTCTGTATCCTTCACCGCCCACTATTCACAACCTCCCCCGGTAACACCCTTCTCAGTCTCCATCCTCGCAGGGAAGAGCCAAACAGCGACACCATCTTCCTCCGTACTCTCACTGAAACCTCTTCGTGACTCCCCTGACGGTTCCCGGCTCATCCCTTATTCATCCTCATCTACCAGCCCACGCCGCCCAACCCTTCACAATCACCCATCAACAACCTCCAATACAAAGGTCTCTAAGCTCCCCAAGAATCCCCTCAAGAATCTCATTAGTTCCATTCCGCCCCCTCCGACTATCCCAACCCCATCACCACCCCCACCGTCGCCTCAAACCCTATCTAGCAAGCTCCGGTTGTCTAGCAAACTTTTTCAGCCTCTGCCTCCACCACCACCTCAAGAAACAGTCATTGACGATGGTGACAATGAATTTGACTGGAGATCTGGAAATTCAGACTCCGCAGGAATGGTACCTAGAGATGAATTTAGAGAGGAAGGTAAGATCTTCGTGGGAAATTTACCATTGTGGGTCAAGAAGTGCGAGATTGCAGAGTTCTTTAGGCAGTTTGGGCCTATTAAAAACGTGATTTTGATAAAAGCTCACCATGAAACTGACAAAAACATGGGGTTTGGATTTGTCATATATGGAGGGCCCATGGCCGAGAAGGCCGCAGCTAAAGCTGTGGAGTTTGACGGGGTTGAGTTTCATGGGAGGGTGTTGACTGTGAAGCTCGATGACGGAAGGAGAGTGAAATCCAAAAGAGAGGAGAGAATGAGAATGGTGGAGGGAAAAGATGATGGAGAAGAGTACAAGTCCAAGTGGCATGAAGAGAGGCAGGCTTCCAGGACAAATTTGAGGAGAGTTATAGAATCGTATCCTGATAATTGGCAAGCAGTGGTAAAAGCCTTTGAGAGAATAAACAAGGTATGCTGTGCTTTATTTATTTTAACGAATTTGTTTGCTAGCCAAATGAGTCACCAGCCTGGGAAAAAACTTAGAATGTGTTGATAACTACAAGTAGTGCTTAATACGAAACTATGCGCATAGTGCATTTTAGTATGCTATGTTGCCGCGGTCACGGAAAGAAAGAACTGATCTTAGGTCGGTCAATTTTCTGTAGTTAGCAGGACAATGTCGATCAAATGATTTTGGGACATAATTTTGTAGATGATTACTCTTTGTAGCCATCCAGGAAGGAGTTCGGCTTGATGGTGAATTACTACGCTAGGCGTGGAGACATGCATCGTGCGAGAGAAATGTTCGAGAAGATGCGTGCCAGGGGAATAAAGCCAACATCTCATGTATATACCAAGTTAGTATCCCCGTGCACTATGTTGACCTCTGTTGTTATGTGATCCCTACTTCACAATAGGTACTAAATTGGTACTTGACTTTTATAGGTTGATTTTGAGTGCTTCCTAAGGGAAGCACTCTTCTATACTGTAATATAATTGAAGTGGATCAACAAATGTTTTTAGTTTCATTAAGTGAATTTATAGTTCTTTAAATAACCACTTTTTGTATCTTTTTTATCGCAGCCTGATTCATGCATATGCAGTGGGTAGAGACATGGATGAAGCACTGACGTGTGTGAAAAAAATGAAAGATGAAGGGCTTGAAATGAGCTTGGTAACTTACAGTGTTATCGTCAGTGGATTTGCTAAAGTGGGCAAAGTCGAGTAAGTAATTCCTGTGCCTCAAAGAGTCAAAATGGCATATCAAGCAGTTTAGGATGTTACATAAACGTGTTAAGTTGCTTATGTTAGTTCTTTCATATGTTCTAATTCAGTTTAGTCAATGACATAGATATTGGCATCATGCTCCATTTATTAGAATCAAATGCTTTCCTGTGCCTCAAATGCAAAGTTATCTTAGTTTTGAGCTAAATTCTGAGGAATCTTATGGGAAAATAAACGGCTTCTCTAATGTTTCATTTTTCTATTCACGGAAGAGATGCAGAGTGGTGGTTTCAAGGGGCCAAACAAGAGCATATGACCTTAAATGCCATCATATATGGAAGCATAATATATGCTAATTGGTATGCCATCCTTCATTTAAGGTTTATTTATTTTTATATTTTGGAAATGGTAAATGCCCTCATCGCTAGATATGACCTTTGTGTAAATGGATATTGGATCATTTTGGTAATTAGTGACCTTTTTTCAACTCTCTAGCAGTGATGTTGCTTATTGTGTTGTTTTACCTAGTGTTGCATTCTATAAAAAATGCCATCCGGCATAGTTTATTTGGATGAGAGATTGAGAGTATGACTTTGGAAAGAGAAAAGTAGAGAGCGCACATTCTTGTGGAACGATTGATCTCGTATCATCTTTTTATCTGCAACTATTTTGAAGAAATGACTCCAAGATGGTAGTAAATACTGTCATGTTACTCCTATTTCGGGAAGAAAACATAGCAATTATATTTTGGAATTTTCCTATTTCGGGAATTATCCCTTATTTTTAACCCACATGTAAGGTGGGTTGGATTAGGGTTGGAGAAATTCTGGTCTGACGTTAAACGGGTTGGCCCAACCGAACCCATGAAATCATAACCCGTCACTGGTTGGTTGGGGTCAAGTTGGCCCATTTGAGTGCATATTGGTGTCATCGCAAGGTGAGGGTTCGAGGAAGGTTCCCATCAAAAGGGTGTCTAGGGAGCAACCCATGGCTTTTCAATGTGACAGCAACACTCTGGTGGTGCACCAAGGCCTCCTTCACACAAACCACATGAAATTAATAGTTAATACTACTTTCGTTTCACTAACATTGGGACATGAGGGGCATAATGATTATTAAGAAAATTGATTTTATGTGGTTGATATTGAATTGATAAAGTAAGAATAAAGTAAAAATGATGCAGAACACACAAACTTTAACCAAAATTGACATGAGACAATCTTAGTGGGACAGACTGAAAAGGAAAGATGGGACAATCTTAGCTATATGGAGGGAGTAGGATTTAAGTTAATCTTCACTTATGTAATATGCCTTTGAATATTTTTTGTGGTGCTGTTAGGGACCTGAACACTACCAAGAATTAGAGCCTTATTAAGTCATTTTAGTTTTGTTCAATAATAGGGTTTAGGCCCTACAACTTATTAGAAGTGGGCTGGCCCATTAGAAATAGAATAAATAAGGGTGAGTGGGGATTAGATGGGGGGGCAGAACTTGGGATCAGGACTGGGATATTGGGAGTGAGAGACCACTCGAAGAGTCTCAAACCTTTCCTTTTGTGACTTTCTGTATTCCTTCACTAAATTTTCATTAATAAACTACTACTTTCTTCTTGGATTCTTCCGTTACTTATCATTGGTATCAAAGGATTCAAAGCCATTGACAAAAGCCTTACCTGCGCATGGTCTTGACCCGATCGAGAATGGAGCAACGTGTGGAAAATCTGGAAAACACCCTAGCGGAAGTGAGAACTGTCGTGAATGAACTGCTTGGCTTGCGTGAGACCGTGGCCGAATTGAAGAATATCATGTTACAGGGTGACCGCCATAAGAGAAGAGGACGATCAACCACAAACCGTCGTCGCCATACTTCAGCAAGCGTGAGCTCCTCTAGTTCTGAAGGTAAATCTCATGAAACTCACTCAGTTTCACGCAGCCCTTATCAGAAGAGAATCAGCGACCGTGTATATACTGCAAGAAAGGTCGATTTACCACTTTTTAGTGGAGACGATGCTTATGGATGGCTGATTAGGGTTGAGCGCTATTTCAAACTCAACCATGTGGCAGAAGAGGATAAAGTAGAAATAATCTTGATAGCCATGGCCGGAAAAGCTCTGAACTGGTACCAATGGTGGGATGAACAGACTGATGACCATTCTTGGGTTAACTTCAAAGATGCTTTGTTCCGGCGTTTTCAACCTGCCTTAGTGCAGAATCCGTTTGTCCTATGCTCAGTATTAGGCAAACTGGTTCTGTAATGGAATATCGGGATCACTTTGAAATGGTTGTAGCTCCTCTCAAACTTGCTGACCAAGGGATGTTAAAAGGAGTGTTTCTCAATGGCCTTAAAAAAGAAATTAGCACGGAATTGAAGTTGCACCAGACCAGTGGGTTAACTGAACTGATGGACAAGGCTTTGTTGTTGGAGCAGAAGAATAAGGTGTGGACAGGAAAAAAAAATAAAGAAGAAGACAACATAGGTTGGAAGGAACAGGGAGGAAAAATGGTTAGACCCTGGAACTGGGTAGACGCAACAAAGGGAAGAACACATGCGTTAAATTCGGAGAGAACACTTTCAGAGAACAAACTGGAGGAATCGCCAAAACCGAGTAAGACATGGGAAGGTGGCCAAAGGTTGACACAAGCAGACTTAGAAGAAAGAAGCAAGAAGGGCTTATGCTTCAAATGTGGAAACAAATGGGGCAAAGAGCATGTTTGTGGAGTGAAACATTATCAATTGATCTTGAGGGAAGAGCCAGAAGAAGAGGAGGGCACAGTAGATCAATTTTATGAGCGGGATGGAGCTGAAAACTTGCTGGAATCTAATGCAAAATCAGTCTCTTATCATCCACCTTGAGGACAAGGTGGAAGTTAAAGGGGGGAGTGATGTTAGGGACCTGAACACTACCAAGAATTAGAGCCTTATTAAGTCATTTTAGTTTTGTTCAATAATAGGGTTTAGGCCCTACAACTTATTAGAAGTGGGCTGGCCCATTAGAAATAGAATAAATAAGGGTGAGTGGGGATTAGATGGGGGGCAGAACTTGGGATCAGGACTGGGATATTGGGAGTGAGAGACCACTCGAAGAGTCTCAAACCTTTCCTTTTGTGACTTTCTGTATCCCTTCACTAAATTTTCATTAATAAACTACTACTTTCTTCTTGGATTCTTCCGTTACTTATCAGGTGCATATGTTTTAGAGTTTACAAGAGAGACAACTGGGGATGAAAAATTTACATTTGCATTGATAATATAAAGCGACTTATATTTATAACCACTCTAACATATGCCTTATAAATAAGACCAAAGGGAGATGCTGCTGGAATGTGTTCAATTATTTAACTAAATATTTGTGACAATACAGCCAAACAGGTAATATGGATAGAGCTGAAGAGTTGGTAAGAGAGATGGAAGAAGATGGAATTGATGCTCCAATTGATATATATCACACAATGATGGATGGTTATACAATTAGTGGGAATGCTGAAAAATGTCTGATTGTGTTTGATAGACTCAAGGTATGAGTGCCTTTTAGAAAAACAATGCTAAAAGTTGTATTTGTACTGGCTTCCATATGGAACTCAAAAAATAAAAGAGAGAAAAATAGAGAGGAAAACAAAGAAGAGAGGTGGAAGGAAGGAATATATGGGGTGAATATAAGATGGCCTTGTACAACAACATCCAAGCTTTAATTCCAAAAGATTTTGAGCTCTGTTAACATGAATCGATATATGATGTCGGAGCCAAAAGAAAAGGAAAGATACAAACATAAGGTATGATAAAAATAATATCGATAAGATGAAATGGAGATAAGATATACATAAAAATGAAAGGATAAAAAGGATAAAATAATATATATATATATATATATATATATATATATATATATATATATATATATAGAATTAGGTTCATATGAGAAAATAATATGAAGAGAGAAATGGAAATGAATCTGGAACGTTAGATTGCATTATGTGAAATTGAATGTGCATTAAGTGAAACTGAAATGTGAAATAGGCGAAATCAAAATGTGCAGCCCAAAAGATTGAAGCTAAATTGTGCATTAGGTGAAACTGAAATATGCTTATATGCATTAGGTGAAATTAATGTGCAGAATAAAAGCTACGATGCAATGACATTTTTGTGCCTTTTTTCTGCACATTTCAATTTCACGTAATGTACATTTGGTTTTACCTTTTATTTTTCACATTTCAATTTCACCTAATGCATATTTCAGTTTCACCAAATGTACAATCACATAATACACACACACATATAATGAAAAGATGAAAGGATAAATAACATAAGAAAGACAAAGAAATTAGAGGGGGGAAAGGATGATAAGAAATCAATCCGCCACAAGGCAAGCGGTCTTTTCCGTTATGTCCACACATCTAACACATCATGCACATCTCTTCCACACTCATCTTTTCTAATGTGACGTACTAAAAAATATATTTTAGATTATATTGATTCATGTCACGTGATGTGACTAGATGATATTGTTGGTTGTCACGCGCATATCACATCACCCTCCTCCTTTATCCCGGTTTGGGCCAGTATGATACCAAAAATGATCTCATGACGGAGTTAAAAAAATAATTTTATTATTTACTTCTATAGATTAATAATTTTTGGTAATAATAAAATATCGGCCAGAAAAACAAAAACTCCCATTTTGGTCCCATGATTATTAAGCTATTCCCCTTTTTCATCCACTGCTTTCAGTTTTTCACTTTTGGTGCATGACTATGCTTTCTTGCCACCTTTCGTCCTTTCCGGCCCCATGTCAAGATTAAATCAATCGAAAATTGTACATAAATTGACTGGATAAGTGGTCAGATGGACGCCACAAGTGACATAAAGTCTATAATCACGGAATCAAAAATGGGAAAATGAATGATAAGGGCCAAAGGTGACAATGTCATAATTACTCATTGAACCACAAGTGAAATCTTTTAAAAATAGCATTTAGATATTTTTCAGTTTAAAAATTCATTTAGTTTATGTTCTTCTATAAAATGAAGAAAAATGTTAACATATGGAAACTTTGAAATAAAAGTAATTATATTTCAGTTTCCTTTGCATTTTCTAAAGTAAAGCTGAACTTAAGCAAATGACTTCCATAGGCATTCCCCCCTTTCCTAGGATTTTTGAGGATCCAAAAATACTCATGAATCTTGTGAATTTGTTAAAAAAATTGTTTGACCTGTTTTTTTTTTCTCCAGATATTTTACCTAGTTCCTTGTTTGACTAAGAAAAGAGGAAATGTTCTGAAACGTGGGGAAATGGGAAACATGAAATGTTAGGTTTTAATAGAAAAATAACTGTTTAGAGAGTTTCCAAAACGGAAACGTACTATTTATGAGAGTTTCTGTGCTTCATATGTTCTGCGTAACACATTTAAATATTATCTCTGATTCAGCCATCTAACCGAAACACTTCTAATTTGTGACCTACCTACTTAGCATGAGGAAAATTGAATCCATATATTAATTCAATGTAAATTCCATGTTGATTTTCTACGCAGTGACTCAACACAACATTAATCCAGTCTTTGAACTGGCTATGTTCAGAGCTGTTTAGGTAGCTTATCTCAGCTGTTTAGGTATATAAACTGTTCTAGTCTTTTGGCTTTGGTGCAGGAATGTGGCTTTGCACCATCAATAGTCAGTTATGGATGCCTCATTAATTTGTATGTGAAGGTACTGTTCCCTGCATTACCATTGTCTTTTCTGTAAAAATTTCCGTTCTGTTTATATACTCCCTCCGTCCCGCTAAGATCGTCCCATTTTACCTTTTCGGTGTGTCCCACTAAGATTGTCCTATACCCAATTTGGTAAAGTTTGTGTGGCTATAAATCATTCTTACTTTATTCTTACTTTATCAATTCAATATCAACCACATAAATCACTTTTTATTGGTTTGCGTGCCACTCTCTCTTGTTCCATTGTTAGTGGGATGGAGGGAGTATGTATTACCTGCCTCACTCTTGAAATTAAAATCCCACCAGAGTCAGCTTTGTCCATCTTATAAGTTATAACATGGTAGTTGTTAGGATATAATCATATAAATACATCATTATAAAAAGGGAAAAGGGTCAAATAATACCTTCTACTATTACGAAATCGTCACATAAGGTCATGTACTCAATAAAGTGTCATATAAATACGTCTACTTATAAAAAGTAATCGGATGAGTCAAAACGACCTGTTGGCAACATCCTAATCCCGATTTTAGCTTACGTGTCATGATTTTTGCTTTGTATTTAAGCCAGTCCTGGCCAAATATTCCATGTCTGCCTTATAATCTATTTTAAAAAGATAGCTAGACTTGCGCTAAAACCGGGATTACGAATTTGTTAACAGGTCGTTAGGACTCTTCCGTTTGCTTTTTATAAGTAGATGTATTTATATAACACATTATTGAGTACATGTCTTTATGTGACGATTACATAATAGTAGAAGACCTCTTTTGACCCTTCTCTTATAGAAACGGATCACTTAATTATTAGCATGTGTTCATTGTATTACCGGTAGCGGAGCTTTGAGAGTGATTCGCAGCCACATTATTTTACATCTATTGCTGGTGTAGTAGTGGGTCGCACATGTGGCCCATTAAATTTGACAATAAATGAAACGGTGGAACCTAAATAAACTTTAGTCTTATTAACCTAAATAAACTTTGTGGCCACTGGCTAGTGTTTGACTGCTTGGAGACATTAATGGAGTGGAGGAATGAAGGAGTGGATTAGTTTTTATTTTACTAATGAAATTTTATCAATTCAAGACCTTAAAGATGGGTTAACTATCAATAAGGGATTTGAAAGATACAATGTGTTGTTATAAGGGCCGAAGATTGAAAACTATCCATCTAAGACCTAAAATATCATAGTTTTTTATTTATTTAATTTTTATGAATTCCATTGCTAATTTTTATGTTTTTTTCATAAAAGTTTATTAGTTTAATATGATTAAATAATATTTAATTTTTTTAAATAAAAAATATTAAAATTCACAATATTTTAGGTCTTAGGTTGATATTCAGGCTCTGTATCGACACACTTGTCTTTCAAATCCTGAATTGATAAAATTTCTTTACTAATTTATCTTTTTTTTAGGTAATCATCAATTTATTAATAATGAAAGGGTTACAAAGAGTAGGGATGTTTTTACTTGGACTATAATTTGCTGGTCTGGTCTGAACTGGTCTGGTTTGGTCTGGTTTCTTTGTATTTTTATAACTATCCAAGTCTGGTCTGAACTGGTCTGGTCTGGGACGAATTACAGTCCAAGTAAAAACATACTAAGAGGGCCATACCAAAGCTAATATAAACAAACAATAACAATCAACGGAAATAACCGTTGCCAGAGCTTGAGAGCTTAAACACACAAATTCTTATTTAATAAAGCATAGTTTGAAATAACCCTCTTGAGGGGATTAAATAGACTACAAGTCCTAATTAAAGAAAAACTCCAAAATAACATAAACTAGGAAATAAACTGGAATTAGGAAACTTATTAAAAAAAAACAATACTAATTAATTAATTAATAAACAATCCAATTAATTCTTCCAGCCAGCCTAACCCACGGATGTGGGCTTTTCCCGATCCCGCCTGCGATACACGATCCAAGGCCTGGGGCCTTCGTCTTCCTCGGTCGCACTCGACTGTCTTTCTTCTTCCTCGGTCGAGCGAGCCTGCTCGCTATCAAATTCACCCTCCTTGGAAAGAACCTTGTCCTCAAGGTTGAAATCAGGAAACTGACTCAAAAAGCTTGCTTTGTTCACCCAAGTTGCCTCGTCTGTAGACTGTCCAGCCCATTTAACCAACAACTCCTCTTCCTTGTCATCTTTTTTTCTGGTAGCTAAAATGTCCTCAGGTTCAAACACTGGTCCTACGGGCAGTTCCAAGCTTTCGGGTAACTCATTTTCCACAGGGTGATCACCGACTACCTTTCGCAGCTGTGAAACATGGAAGACCGGATGGATACGGCTGGTTGCTGGCAGTGTCAAGCGGTAGGCTGCCTTCCCAATGCGTGCTTCAATCACAAATGGCCCATAGAACTTTGCAGATAGCTTATGGTATGATTGGCTGGACAGAGTTGTTTGCCGATGAGGCCTGACCTTTAGAAACACTTTATCTCCAACCTGGAATTCCACGTCGCGACGGTGTTTATTTGCTTGGGTTGCCATGCTTTGTTGTGCCTTTTGTAGATTCTCTTTTAACCGCCTTAACATCACATCCCTGCTACCCAACTCATCTGTTACGGCTGCCACTCTGCTTTCTCCAGGTATAAACCTCCGAATCGTTGGGGGTGGCCGGCCATATACCACCTCGAATGGAGAGAGTCGAGCTGCCGTCTGGAATGCAGTATTATACCAATATTCTGCCCAATTTATCCAACGTATCCACTGTCTCGGCTGCTCACTGGTGAAACAACGCAGATAGGTTTCCAACACCCGGTTCAAAACTTCAGTCTGCCCATCGGTCTCCGGATGATATGCCGAACTAAACTTCAGCTGTGTACCGGACAGATTAAATAATTCCTTCCAGAACGCACTAACAAAAAGTGAGTCCCGGTCACTTACGATTGAGCGTGGAATGCCATGCAACCTCACCACTTCTTTGGAGAACACCTCAGCCACGGAGCGGGCTGTTATGGGGCATTTTAGAGGAATGAAGTGCCCATATTTCGACAATCTATCCACCACCACTAGAATTGTTGTAAAACCTTTTGACTTTGGCAAACCGGTGATGAAATCCATAGAAATATCCTCCCAAATTAAGTTGGGAATAGGTAATGGCTGAAGTAACCCCGCGGGTGATAAAGTCTCATATTTAGCCTTTTGACAAACTAAACATTGCGCAACATAATCTCGTACCTGTCTGAACATCCCCTTCCAGCAGACATTCATTGCAAGTCTTCTATATGTCCGATAAGCCCCTGCATGACCTCCTGAAGACGTCGAATGAAATTCCTCTATTAACTTTGGAATCCACCGGGAACCCACGGGCAGCACCAAGCGACCCTTGTAAAACAGCCGCTGTCCAATTACCTCGTAACCGGCTACTCTTGCCGGATCTACAGCCACGGTTTCCCAGATTTTCTTTAAAGCCTCATCCTTTTGCTGTTCTTCCACTATGTCGGCCAAACCCATCCATTCAGGAATACTGATTGCGGCTAATTCCCCTTCCTCTCCTCGTCTGGACAAAGCGTCTGCTGCTCTGTTAGAAACACCGGTCTTGTATTCGATCTCAAAATCATAACCTAACAACTTTGCCACCCAAACTTGCTGAGATGGAGTGGCTATGCGCTGAGTGAGCAAATGCTTGAGACTTCGATGATCAGTCCGTACTAAGAATTTTCTTCCAATCAAATATGGACGCCAATGCTGCACGGCCAAAGCCAAACCCATCATCTCTCTCTCATTGGCGGATTTAGTCAGGGTACGGTCAGCTAACGATTTGCTAAAGTAAGCAATTGGTCTTCGTTCCTGCATAAGAACCGCTCCAACCCCTATCCCCGATGCATCACATTCTACCACAAATAGGCGGTCAAACTGGGGCATGGCTAGCACAGGTGCTTCGGTCATGGCCTTCTGAAGTTGGCGGAAAGCCTTCTCGGCCTTTTCAGTCCACTCAAAACGAGTCAAAGCTTCCTTTTTTAAAAGATCCGTAAGAGGTCGTGCAATCAGTCCGTATTCTCTCACGAACCTTCTGTAATAACCAGTCAATCCTAGAAACCCCCGGACCTCTCGGGCCGTCTTCGGTCGAGGCCAATCTACCACCGCACTGACTTTGGCCGGATCCATGGCTACCCCTGCTTGAGAGATGATGTGACCGAGGTACTCCACCTGTGGTTGTCCGAAAGCACACTTCTTTTTATTTGCTCTGAACTGATTCTTCTCCAGGATTTCTAATACTTGGTCTAATTGTTCTCGGTGTTTGGCCCATGATTTGCTGTACACCAAGATGTCATCAAAAAACACCAGTACAAATTTCCGCAAATAAGGTCTAAATAAATCATTCATGATGGCTTGGAAAGTTGCTGGTGCATTGGTCAGCCCAAATGGCATTACCAAAAATTCATAATGCCCACTGTGAGTCCGGAAGGCGGTTTTGTGGATGTCTGGTTCTGCCACCCTAATCTGGTGATACCCGGAACGCAAATCGATCTTAGAAAAGACCCCAGCCCCAGCCAACTCGTCTAACATCTCCTGGATCACCGGAATAGGGTACTTATCCGCCACTGTTGATTTATTCAGTTCCCTATAATCCACACAAAACCGCCAGCTGCCATCTTTCTTCTTTACTAACAGAACTGGACTGGAGAATGGACTGGAACTGGGTTGAATGATGCCGGTCTGAAGCATCTCATCAACTAATCTCTCAATCTCATCCTTCTGTAGATGACCGTACCAGAAACTGGTTTTGCCCTGGAAACCAGCTCGATGCGGTGGTCCCTAGTGCGATATGGTGGCAGCCCCTGTAATTCAGTGAATACTTCCGTATGTCGGCTGAGAATGTCCTCCAATGATTCCATTGATGCCCTCGCTGTTTTGCCGGTTTCCCTGACGAGGACAACCGCACTAAACTCTCTATCGACTGTTTTAAGAAGAGTCCTCAAACTGACTGCATTCTTACTCATTGCTGGATCTCCCCGCAATTCTACCTGCTTGCCATTAAGTTTGAACTGCATGATTAATTCCTTCCAATTGGTTCGCACTTCTCCCAATGTTGCCAGCCAAGCCACGCCTAGTATAAGGTCCACTCCAGCCAGGGGAAAGACAAAACAATCCGTTTTGATAGCACATCCTGGTAAGTTAATGGAGAGTTGACGGCATACTCCTTCAGATTCTTGTCGGTGCCCATCCCCCAATTGTACTCCGAATCTTCCAGTCTTATCCTTTCTAAGGCGTAATAGAGATACCAAAGAAGAAGATACAAAATTATGACTGGCACCGCTGTCAATTAATATTGTGGCCGCGCACCCTCCAATCGTTCCGCGGAGCCGCATAGTCTGGGGGCTGAAAATTCCGGCCATAGCATAGACCGGAAAATCGCCCTCCTGTCCCTCGGGAGAGTCATCGTCGGGTGGGAATTCCTCCTGTCCTGCTATGTCGCAATAATCATGTTGCTGTAGGTCCAATTCTTCGTCTTCATCCACCAGTATCACCCGTAATTGTTTTAACGGGCATTCGTGTCCTGGAGAGTAGGGCTTCCGACATTTGAAGCATAGTCCTCTGGCGCGTAAATCATCGTAAACCTTTGGGGGTATTCGAGTGAATCTGGAACGTTCTGTGGGCTGCCCAGATGTTCCGGTAGTAGTCCCGGCGACTGGTGGTGTGGAACCCGCTGTGGGTCCCATGGGCCGAGACATGCTGCTCCCAAAATTTCGTGCGCTTCCACTGGCGGTGGCCGAGAGAGAAACCGTGTTTGGTCGTGGATAACTGCTACTTCGTGATCCAGTGGAATTGTAACCCGATCCTCCTTTTCCTCCGCTCTGAATGATTAGTTTATGTTCAACGCCAAGGGCCAACTCCATGGCCGTTTCTAAACAATCCGGACGAAGTAAACGCAGCGAACATTTAATTTCTTCTTTCAGCCCGTTCATATAATATCCCATATAATGATCGTCCGATAACCCCGGAACTTGGCTTGCCAACTGGACAAAAAGAGTATTGTAATCTTCTACCGTTCCTCCTTGCTTGACTCCGGATAGACGTTCAAAACGGTTTCCCTGGTATCGGGAATCAAATCTAGTCACCAGGGCTTGTTTGAAATCTTCCCAGCATATATTGGGTTTGCGTGATCTCAGCCACGTAATCCAGTAAAGCGCTCCCCCTTCCATGGCTACCATAGCGGCAGCTACTTTCCGATCCGGTGGAATCGCCTGCAACTCGAACTGCTGCTCCACCCGAGCTAACCACCCAATCGGGTCCCCCCCCATCGAACGTGGGTAGTGGCGTTGGCATGGAATTGCGCCCTTCCCCGTCGATTGTTGGCACGGTCAGCGCGCCGACGTTAGCGCCTACCGCGTCGATAGCCGGTGATTTAGGTGGTGTCAACGCCTTCGTTATTGCGGCCAGCGACGACACGATTTCTTCCAGCTTCGCACCGTGTTCACCGAGCGTAAGGGTCATGGATTCGAGCTTCGTGCTATGGTCGTCAAGGGTCTGGTTCATTCGGATCTGTTCGGCCCCCAATCGGGCCACTTCTTCTCCAACGCGACTTTGTTCATTCTCCAATTCTTGCAAACGTTCACTTTGAGATCTTGTCATGGTGGCGGGACGGGATCCGGCAGGTCGGACCAAATTAATATAAACAAACAATAACAATCAACGGAAATAACCGTTGCCAGAGCTTGAGAGCTTAAACACACAAATTCTTATTTAATAAAGCATAGTTTGAAATAACCCTCTTGAGGGGATTAAATAGACTACAAGTCCTAATTAAAGAAAAACTCCAAAATAACATAAACTAGGAAATAAACTGGAATTAGGAAACTTATTTAAAAAAACAATACTAATTAATTAATTAATAAACAATCCAATTAATTCTTCCAGCCAGCCTAACCCACGGATGTGGGCTTTTCCCGATCCCGCCTGCGATACACGATCCAAGGCCTGGGGCCTTCGTCTTCCTCGGTCGCACTCGACTGTCTTTCTTCTTCCTCGGTCGAGCGAGCCTGCTCGCTATCAAAAGCCTACTCGAAATTAAATAACATAAGGGAAACTAATAGCATCAAATTTAAGAATACCAACAAAATGATTGAAATGATGATTATTGGTCTGAATCGAAGTATTTCGATAAGCTAAAAATTCCGAGGCTCTGTTGAGATTCCGGTGTATGTTGGAGATCGTCCAATTGTACGTGGCAAACTTTTTTCTGATATTTTGAACTTGTGGCCAATGACGCCAATGTTGCATAGAGGTCCCTGTGATGCCTTCATATGCCTCCCTATTGTCTAGTTCAAGCACAATATTGGTCAGATTGATTGCCTTGATTATAGGGAGACAATATATAATTGCTTCGTAAGTGGCTGCAGTGCTATTGTTGTGGGTCGCTAGATGAGTCGCATGACTGTAGTAGTTTCCTTTGTCATCCCGTATGAGTGCCGCAGTGCGAATTAGGTCGTGATTAAGATAACGAGAGGCAAAGTTGATTTTGTAATAGCTAATTTATCTCTATTTGTTAGTTCTAACTAGAAATAATTACATGATTAATTAGATTATTTATTTATATACTACAAATGTTTTTTAATCTTTACTTTATTTCCGACTAACTAAATACAACAACATTCAAGCCTTAATCCCAAAAGATTTTGGGGTTGGTTAACATGAATCGATACATCATACATGATACCAGAGCGAAAAGGAAAAGAAAGATAAAGAAAGATGAAAAAAGGTAAAGTATGATAAAAAAGATTAGTTAAAGATAAAAATGATAAGATAAAAAGAACATATACGGAGTATAAAATAAAAAGGATAAAGAACATAAGAAGGATAAAGAAGATAAAAGAATAAAAAGGTGATAAGAGATCAATCCTCCACACGAATATCCGTCTTCCACTTTGCGCTTTCTAATGCCAAACTTTCATCTAACCTAAGAAGAAGCATATCACTCTTGACTCCTCTTGTCCATGTCCGATTGGGTCTTCTTCTCCCTCTCCTCCCCATCTCTTCTCCACGCCTCTCAACTCGCCTAAAAGGTGCATTACTCCGTCTTCTACACACATGACCAAACCACCGCAATCTAGACTCCCACATCTTATCTTCAAAAGCTGAGTGTGGCGGAGATGCGAGTGGTACGTTGAATTTTATGGACATGGTAGACTAGACTGCTTGAGGAATGAGACTAAATACACTTGCACCATCCATCCATTTTAGTTCTTCTCATGATGCTCTGTCATTCCATTGTAATAGTATTTTTTTTAAAGGCTTTATGACATAATAAATCCCATGATTGAAGGTGTTGACAAAGCTAGTCCATTGTATATGCGATCTTTAAGTAGCAACCTTAGATTTAAAATTCATGATGGTATTAGGATCCGTTTTATTTCGTGCAATGTGTGGATTTAATAGATATTTTGTGATTTTGTCTAGCTAAGAGTTAATTTCCTATGATGTGTAATTACTATTCGCTCCTCATCTTATATACTAGCTAAGAGTTAATTTCCTATGATGTGTATTTATTATTTGTTCCTCATCTTATATGCTATTTTTTGTTATTTCATATTATTAGCTATTGAAGATTGATTTTTTGAACTGTAATTCTATTTTTTAACTTATATACATGAGTTCCACACATTTAGCAGTCAGACATAAATTTTAGCCAAAAAGAGCATGTGAAATTTACAAATTCCACTGCACAGACCTAGACATCTAATACCGTCTAGGATTCTAAAACGATGGATGCTATTTAAGAATTACACATACGATAAACTGGTTTTGTCACTGTCTTGAAGCATTGGATTTTTTGTGTGTATGTAGACATTTTGGGTGGAAATCGATAACATATATTTTAGTACTTTCTGCTCTATGTTTTTGTAATTTTTATTTACGTAATAAACCATTGCAGTCCAAAATGCTTTCTAAAGCATTGGAAGTCAGTGAAAAGATGAAATTGGATGGCATAAGACATAACATGAAGACTTACTCTATGTTGATCAATGGATTCATAATTCTGAAGGACTGGGCCAACGCCTTTGCCATTTTTGAAGATCTGATAAGGGATGGTTTAAAACCGGATCTTGTGCTTTACAATAACATCATCAAAGCTTTCTGTGGGATGGGAAACTTAGACCGTGCCATCCGTATGGTTGATGAAATGAAAAAACAGAGGCTTAAGCCTAGTTCAAGGACGTTTTTGCCCATCATTCATGCTTTTGCAAAAGCTGGAGATATACGTAGAGCCCTCAACACTTTAGTGTTGATGAGGAGGAATGGTGTCACACCAACAGTCCACGTGTTTAATTCTCTAATTCTTGGCCTTGTTGGAAAGCTGCAGGTAAATAAAAGTTTTCAGCTCTTCATTTTATGTTACTTGGATAGGGACTGAGAGCCCATTCGGCAAGGACTGGTTTTGTCTTATCAGCACGATTTTCACCAAACACTAACTATTGTCATAGTGCCTAGATGGTTATGGTAGGCATGGGTTTTGTGAAACATGTGCTGCCTAGATCTGCCTAGGAGCTAAGCCTCAGGCCATGCATGTATTTTTCCTGAATGGACCCTACCTCTGGTTGTCTGCCCTACTCCACCCGGGGGCTAGACTCCACTCTTCTTCCCACCTAGTACTTATTGCTTTTAGAACTGCGTATTTTACTGCATAGACAGTTTTAATCAACTCAATTTTTTTCTCTCCTCACCAAAACACAGATTGAGAAGGCTGTTGGCATATTGGAAGAGATGTTGGTAGCTGGAATTAGTCCTAATGAACACACATATACAACAATTATGCAAGGCTATGCATCTGTTGGTGATATTGGAAAAGCTTTTCAGTATTTCTCAAAACTAAAATCTGAAGGTTTGGTGGTTGATGTGTATACGTATGAGGCTTTGCTTAAGGCGTGTTGTAAATCAGGGAGGATGCAAAGCGCTTTAGCAGTGACTAAAGAAATGAGTGCTAATAACATCCCAAGGAACACCTTTGTTTACAACATCTTAGTTGATGGGTAAGAAGTATAAATATTATTTTGGGAAATTTACTGTTACCCTCGGGTTAGGTCATAATTATTAATTCATCCTTATATATTCAAAAGTCAATTAGTTATCCTTTGATCTTTGATTGTTTTCACAACTTCACTCTTCCGTTAATATTTTATAACTTCATTGCTGTTCGTTATTCTTCTGTTTTGGCTACTTTTAAAGACATTTTCCTATGAGTAGGCGAGATGAAGTAATATAAAAAGCAGCATCCATGGATTATAATGACAAGGGAGAAATTTATCGACTTTTAAAGTGGATTTTTTAGACAACCTTTGTTAGATTTTTACAGTTACATGATTTCATACGAGATAAATATTAACAGAAGTAGGAGAAATGGGGCAGTGATTTTTGTTTCTTATTTAACAAATGCCTATGGGTCACTATGGGTCATCCGGAAACAGTCTCTCTGTGCTTTAGTACAGAGGTAAAACTGCGTACATCCGACCCCCCCTTACCCCACCGTAGGTGGGAGCCTTTGCGGCACTGGGGTAAATGAAAATGAAATGATGATTTAACAAATGTCTATGTTTGAAAGCAGAGAAAACAAAAACCTTTTCTGTTATTTATGGGTTCAATATTTTTTCGGTGGCTTTATTGTGATCAATATGAAGGTGGGCGCGAAGAGGTGATGTTTGGGAGGCCGCTGATCTTATGCAACAGATGAGACATGAAGGGGTTCAGCCTGATATCCATACATACACATCTTTCATTAGCGCTGCTTGCAAAGCCGGAGACATGCAGGTGATGCTACTGAAGCTTTATCATTAAATGTTAAGTACTATCGTATTTAACATCAGTATGAGGTGAACTACATTTACATCAACATGTCATCATTTTAGAGGGTCCTTTTAGAGTGGCTTGGGCCCAATTTAATAAAGAAATTTTCTTAAATAACAGCAAAAACAATGCCAAATTCCAAAATAGGAGTATTTTGTTTTTTTCTAATTATTACTGACTTCATAGACATGGTCATCTTTTATTACTTCTTGGATTGGATGAGAGTATAACTTTGGAGGGAGCGAAGTGGAGTGTATTCGTATTGAGGATTGCTCTCTTTTTATGTTTTTAACTTCGATTTCATATGTTTATTCATGTTCGCCTATCTCACGCTCTTTTGGCACTAAAGAGTTGTAGAGTAATAATGGACATGCTTGGAAAATAATGTCAATTATGACATTAATACTGCCGTATTAATACCTGGTAATGCCAAAATACCTGGTAATGCCAAAATGCGGCAATATGATTTCAAGGTGACAGTAATTTACCCCAACCTAGGGACTGAGACTTGGATGTTGTTGTAGGGATTTTTAGCTTCAATCTCATATGTTATTTCATGTTAGCTGACTCCAAACTCTTTTGGGGCTAAGTCTTGGATGTTGTAGGGAAGACATATAACCCTTATTATGGAACTATTTTAGAATTTCACATCGTTTTTGCTCTTATTTTGGGAAGTTTTCCAATCTAATACCAACATGGCCATGTCATTATTTCCAGAGAGCAGTGAGCACAATCGAAGAAATGAAAGCGGTGGGAGTGGAACCTAATGTAAGAACGTATACAACCCTAGTAAACGGGTGGGCCCGAGCTTCACTTCCGGAGAAGGCTTTGAGATGTTTTGAAGAAATGAAGAATGCTGGAATGAAGCCTGACAAAGCCACTTACCATTGTTTGATGACATCACTTGTATCGAGAGCTGCTGTCACCGAAGACTACATCTTAACGGGCATCTTAAATGTTTGTGGGGAGATGGTTGAGTCTGGCATGACAGTTGATATGGGCACGGCCGTCCATTGGTCCAAGTGCTTACGGAAGATCGAGAGGGCAGGTGGCAGTATAACAGAGTCCCTTCAAAAGACATTTCCTCCCGACTGGAATGCTCATAAAACTCTCATTGCAACTACGGTTGATGTCAATGACGAAGATGAAGGTTCAGTTAACTGTGAATATGATTATGATGATGATGCATACCAAAGATGAAAAGCTCCTATGGATCCAAAGAGAATTTCTAGTACTCTTTTTAGTAATAGAGTTCTTTTTTTTATTTTATTTTTCATTTCCAAAATTGGTACGAGAATATGTTTAATGTCCAACTTTTTGGTAGATATATGTAGTAGTAAAGCTGTTTGGTGTAAGGACTGGTGATGCCATTAGATTTAATAAAAAATGTATTGGATTTTGTTGAGGAAGAAAATTCTCTGATGAAATAGTAAAGAGAATGGGGCCTTCTTTTTTGATGTTAGGCACTCGACATTTCTGACTCCGATTCTGTTTGAGTTGAAGTTGCAGAGAGATAAAGGTAAAAAGCGACTCATATAATGGAGACATGACATAAAACATAATCATGTACATATGCCAAGGCTTGGTTCCTTTGAGTTAGCATAGTAATGATCATATATTGTCTCTTAGTTGACTAATTATTGGACTCTCTCTCTTCCTTCTCTCTAACCCATTTTTCTCCATTGTTTTGATTGTTCAATTATGAATCATTACAGTCAACAACATTAAGGAAAGGGGGAGGGTTTAGAGGGGATTTCAATGATATTACTTTCTAGTTGGGCTGAAACTAGTGGGCTAAAATGATCAAGTTGATGGGCTCACTAAATCAGGTAATGTATTCATGAACCCACCCACATTATTCTAGGCACTACTTTTTCATCAATCCAAACAACGCTTTATTCGCTTACCCTCCTTTTCCTGTACACTTTGTAGAGAATTGATGAGAGGTTTATGATGAGAAGCTTGAATCACAAAAACAACAAGGAAAAGAAAAGAAAGAATACACACAGTTCCCAACCCCTTCAAACAGACAGGCAGTCCTCTCCCTCTTTTTCAGATCTCTCCTTTCTCTTTTCCTTCACTTTTCTCTTTTTACCAAAGCTCTATAGCACATCATTTATAATTATTATATGCGGTCATAAAACATAAACTAAAGCACTTTTTTGTTTTTGTTATAGTTTTTGAGCTAAGGTTTAATTCTCCTAATATTAAACCAATCGCATAGAAACTTCAACTTTTAATAATCATCACAGATTACGTAAAATATGAATAGTCCAACTCCCAAAGTCCAATTATCCTAGTATTATTATTATTACACCTTTAATTCAATTATCACCTTATGAGAGCCAAAAAAAGAAAGACTAATTACCTTTAACTTTGCCTCATGCTTTTTCACTTTGTCTTAGTAAGCTAACCATTACAAGAAAGGCATAACCTTACCCTCCCACCCCTTTCCTCCCACACCCACCCCACCCCACTCCGAGTCCTATTAATTCCCTTCACCAACACTCTCCGAACTCATAATCTCTACTTTCTCAAAACAACATCACCATCTCCTCCGCTATCATAATCTCCTTCTTGATCACAATATTCCTGAAAACAACAGACTACTATATACTAAGGCAAATCATCAAATATATCTAGCTAAGATGAGGAGTGGTGGGTATACATTTCAGCAGTCACTTACACATGAATCAGCAAGCATAGTGAGGCAAGCAATGAGCTTAGCTAGAAGGAGAGGGCACTCTCATGTGACACCTCTCCATGTAGCTAGTGCCATGCTGGCTTCCTCCACGGGGTTACTCAGAAGAGCTTGCCTTCACTCCCACTCTCACCCCCTTCAATGCAAAGCCCTTGAGCTTTGCTTCAATGTCGCCCTCAACCGCCTCCCCACATCTTCTTCAAACCCCATTTTGGGCCCACATTCTCACCTCCCTTCCCTCTCCAATGCCCTGGTCGCCGCCTTCAAGCGAGCCCAGGCCCATCAAAGAAGAGGGTCCATCGAGAACCAGCAGCAGCCCATTCTTGCCCTCAAAGTGGAAGTTGAGCAGCTTGTGATTTCCATTCTTGATGATCCCAGTGTGAGTAGAGTGATGAGGGAAGCCGGGTTTTCTAGTAGCCAAGTTAAAACCAATGTGGAACAAGCCGTTTCCTTTGAGATTAAGGAAGGGAGCGCTCCGAAACCATTAGTCCTGGGTGTTCCTCCTCATCATCAACATCAGGTAAGCCGGTTCCCACCAACAAGTGACCGGACGGTCAGAGATGAGGATGTGATGAGTGTGGTGGAGGCTATGATGAGCAAGAAGAGGAGAAACACGGTGGTTGTCGGGGAGTGTTTGGCCACGGCCGAAGGGGTAGTGAAAGGAGTGATAGAAAAGATGAGCAAGGGTGAAGTGGAGAGGGAGGACATGAGGCATGTGCAGTTTATCAGCGTTCCTGTTTTGACCCTGAGAAACATGTCAAGGGAGGAGTTTGAGATGAAGATTGGGGAGCTGAGGGCCTTAGTGAAAAGCTACATAAGTAGGGGGGTTGTTTTGTATTTAGGTGACCTTAAGTGGGTGTCTGACTTTTGGTCAAAATATGCTGACCAAAGCACTCACTACTGCTACTCTCCCGTGGAGCACATGATAATGGAGCTTAGCAGATTATTATGTGGTGGGATAGGCGAAAATGGGAGGCTTTGGCTAATGGGAATTTCCAGCTTTCAGACTTACATAAAGTGCAAAACTGGCCATCCTTCTCTTGAGAATCTTTGGTCTCTTCATCCCCTCACAATCCCTGTTGGCAGCTTCTCTCTTAGCCTCAAGCCCGAAAGGTATATATTTACTCATATTTATATTGTTAATCATGCCACATTAATCAAATACTCCGTATAAAGATATAAACCAACATATAAATAAGTTATCATCTCCAAATTATTGGTTTTTATTAATTTGTTTGTTTGTTCATACAGTGATTTGCTCGGTCAATTGGGAAGCAAGACAGCAGTAATAGAAGGATCAAGCTGGCCAGTGAGTAACAGAAATCAAGGTGCTGATGAGAAGCATCTTACTTGCTGTGTAGATTGCATGTCAAACTTCAACAAAGATGTTAGAAACAGTAGCAGTGCTGTTAAGACTGAGCCCAACACCACCACAAGCTTGTTGCCTTCATGGCTCCAAAAGTGCAAAGATGATTCCACAAGACAAACCACCAACCATCAGGTATTAATTAATCAATTAAATACCTTTCATTAAAGGCATTGCCGCATATGACCCTATTACTCTTTCAGTAAATATGTATGAATGAGATGCATCACAAAAATAGAAAGAGGGCCGGGCGAAGTTGGAAGATAATATTTCATTACACCACAAGTACTTTTTGAAATAAATGCTGACATTCTTTTTAACTTAAAAATAGCAGGAGTATGACAGGACTACTGATCTATGCACGAAATGGAACTCAATTTGCAGCACAATTCACAAGCACCCACTTTTTCCTGAAAAGAACTTGATGAGTTTCTCTCCATCTCCATGCTCATCGCCTTCCATATCATCTTCAAACGACAAAAAAAGTTCCAAGTTACACCAAAGCCTACTGCAATGGCCAGTCATCTTTGAGTCAAACCAATCACCCAAAGAGCACCAATTCTTTGCATCCCAAAAGGGGGCGCAGGCGTTAGCTACAAAGCCAGACTTGTTATCCAACCCGAATTCGAGCCCTAACTCGGCTTCCTCAAGTGAAGCGAGTGGGGACCATCTTATACCCATGGAGTGTTTGAACAAGTTCAATGAAGTGAATTCAGAAAACATGGACATTCTTTGCAAGGCGCTGGAGAAGAGAGTTCCATGGCAAAACAATAGCGTGTTCCCGGAAGTAGTCGGCACAGTGCTCAAGTGTAGGTCAGGACTGGTGAAGAGGAAAGGAAAACAAGAGACATGGATGTTCTTCTTAGGTGTTGATTCACTAGGGAAAGAGAGGGTTGCAAAGGAGCTAGCCAGGGTTGTGTTTGGTTCTGAGGATAACTTTATCCCCATTGGGATTAGCAGCTTCTCACCATCACTGAAGGCGGTTTCCGCGGAGGCAGCGGAGGAAGAAGTGATCAGCAACAACAAAAGGGGGAGAGACGAGGAAGGGGGAAGCTATCTTGAGAGGTTCTTGGAGGCTGTCAGGCAAAACCCTAGCAGGGTTTTCTTCATGGAGGATATTGACCAAGTTGACTATCATTCCCAGAAGGGAATCAAGAAACTTATTGAGAGTGGGAGCTTCAAACTGCCCTATGGTGATGGAGAAACGGTGAGGATGAAGGATGCAATCGTCATTTTCAGCTGCGAGAGTTTCGGGGCCGCCGCCACGTCTAGGGCCCCATCTCCTGTAACTCCTCCCATGGCTGCACCAAAGTGTGAGATGTTCCAAGAAAGAAAGCCATGTGTTTCGCTGGATTTGAACCTTGCAAGTGAAGATAGTCATAGTGATGAGCATTTCCGTTCCAACCTTGGAATCCTGGAAGTGGTAGATAAACAAGTTGAGTTTAAAATTCATGACTTGTTAGGTTGAGCAGAGATGAATCCAAAATCCGGAATCATGCATGTAGAATTTCTAATTTCCTTTACATTTTGTGGTTATATATATTTGTATTTTTTTGTTATTTTCTTTGTTTTAATTTAGTTTTCTGTTCCAAAAAATGTGGGAAGGGGGTAAAGTTAAAATTTTCACAGGTCCCATAGATTTAATTTAGATGGAGTTGAAGTACGTAGAATAGATTAGAGAAGAATGAAATGTACATTTAACGTACACTTGCTTGAAGCTTTAGTGATGCATGTTGTGTTGTTTTGATTTTAATGTATTGTTAACTTATTATTCTTGTACGTACGTATACATTAAATTGATTGGCAGCACCGCAGCATTATACTCCGTATTTTATATGCTACGTACCATTTTACTTAAAAATTAATAAAAAAATATTCACAGTCGGGGAACCAGAAATGACAAGTTAGGAGGCGAAACTTATAAAATTTATGTTGTAGGTCAATGTTTAACTTATCACTATATTTTTTATTACATATAAATATTTATGCATATGTATATATATCACAATCTTTTTTGGGGGATATGAAGCTTTTGACTTTTGGAAATGGAGGGAATTTGGGGTGTGGTTCGAATGGGAAGAAAAGAAAATGGGGAAGAAAAGCTGCCCGCCCGCACCCTTTTCGGGCTTTTGCCCGATCGTCCGACCGGGTATAGTGATTGACCCGGTCGGGCGTAAGCTGTTCACCCGAGGCAGATAGTTTTTTGCTGGGTTGCCCGGCCGGGTATAGGGGTCTACCCGGTCGGGCGGTTGATTTATTCTTTGTTCTTCATCTGCCTCCCCGGGCGGTTGGCTGGGTGCTGTGTTTTAAGAGGTAACCCGACCGGGTAGGGTTTTATACCCGACCGGGTTCAATCCCAGGTTTTTTTTTTGTTTTGTTTTTTTTTGAAATGTGCAAAAATAAAACAAAACAA